AACAATAAGTAAGAAAGTAATACAGATAGAAAAAGTCAGTTGTAAAGAGATAGAGTACTGCCTAGAGTGGGAAAACAAATGAACTGACATCCCAACAAGACTGTTATGCAAACTGGTAATGAATGCAAGACTAGGAGCAGAATGAAGAGAAACAAATGCAATTAAAAAGTTGGAACCAAAAACAGAAATCATGACCTATGATTGGACACAACTCTGAAAAAAACTTAAAGCAACTAAAGGGATACACAGTACAACAAGAAAAAGTAGTACAAGAAGATGTGTATTTATCAAGTAAATAATGGATAAACTTCCAACTTTAGAAAAACTTAACAGAAGATGACCAGATATATATACAATGACAGAATATCAACTATGTCAAGATAAAGTTAAAGAAACATAGTCACACTTGGCATCATGCAAAGGACAAGCAAATCTCTGGAAATGAATCCAAAAAGTGACTATCACAACAGCCTAGAAAGGGTTGAAAAAAGAGAAAAAAACTTGCATCCCACCATATGTACTATATACGACATTCTTTAAAAAAAGTAAAGCAGAAGAAATAAAGATAAGAGAAACTTTAATCAAAGGCCTAATTCCAGAAAAAATACAAAAAAGATTAACACAGCTTCTAAATATTAAAGCAAGACAACAGTTTATAGAGAAAATAGTAAAGACAGCATGAGACACATTCTATGAACAGGTTTGAAGAATATGGTGTGAAAAGATTAATGAATGAGAGAAGAAAGAAGACATAATGACCAAAATGATGAAAAAAGAAGTTAAAAGAAAAGATCTAAAAAAGAAAGAAAAGGCAAGTCAGCAGAGGATCGAAGAAGAAAGAGAACTAGTAAAAGAGAAAAAGGACAGGATCAATGAAGAAACTAGGAAAACAATGTTAGGACTTGTTGTGAAAGGGAGAAGACCTTTCTATTATGGACTTTAAGTAATCAAACAAGTAGCCTACTTCTGCTTGAAGTAGTGCAGCAGGTTGTATTTAGGTATCTCTTAGGTGGCCAGGTGATGCTAGACTTAGTTGTTAGGTAAATCTATGTAATTGCAAAAGTAATTTCAAGAATCTTAATAAAGTACTAGCATGACTGCTTAAGTTTAAAAAAAAAAAAAATAAAAAAATAAATAAAATGCAGAATACCAAGCTTAATTTTAATAAATTCATTAAGTTAGTAATTGATTTATTACATTTTTTATAAATTTTTTTTTGTTATCTTAGTGCTATTATGTTATCTGGTTCAATTTCTAGCAGTTTAATTATAGCAAGTGCTTTAATATATTCGCCTATAAGAAAAAATATTTGTATTGACTATCACTATATATTGTGTTATCTTATTGGTTGAATTTTGAAGGTCGGAAATCACGTGAACAGAAAATCGATCCTCTGCTCTGGCATTGTTCCAATTGTACGCTCTCCTGTAGTGGTTCATAGAATCACATTACCAAAACGTTGTTAATAAAAGTCAAAAGACCAAAGAGGTCACCTTAACACCAAAAAAAAAAAACAACTAATATGTCTAGTTCTAAATATTCACTGACTACTATTATATTCATTCTAACAAATTAGTCTAAATACTATTATGCTTTGTGCTATTTTATTAATTTTAATTATATGCATTATATTTGTTGTGCTAAAATTATATTCAAATATATACTAAGAACCGGAAACCGGTATAAGTCTGGAGCTTGCCCCAGCTCCTGTTATGTACGTATGTCGTAGATCAAATTTTCAGGGGCGTTACGAACGAAAATACCAAAATTACATTTTTGATATTTTTACTATTAATGTAAAGACGGAATCTGTTGCTTCACTCCAGACAATTACACAATTTGATCCAAATAGAAATTTATATAACTGTAATTTTCGTTATTTAGACTAATCCAAAGAGTATTTAAATTATTTATACAAGGTAAACTAAAACATACAAGATTTTAATATATTACAAATTTTCTACTGCCTTTCGTAACATGAATTATTATATTATTTAATCCCATATTACTATAAGGGATCATTTGGTAACAATAACTTGAACAAAAAATTTACATGGAAATTTCACCTTTTTGAGTATATGGGATTTAATTAGAATTACCTAAATCTCCTAATTGTTTACATATTTTCTGGGGAACTATCCAATTGAGAGCATTTATTGGCTGATTTATTGCTATATTTGTCTCATTATGATTATGTAGTATGCCAAAATGAAAATTTGCAAGTTTCGGTTCCATAAAGCATGACATCTAAACAACATCAAGCTAGTTGTTATATTTGACGAAATATAGATTGTTTGTGCATAAAAAAACATTGTGTCCTACCAGTATATTTTCACATCGAATATCATTGTGAAAAATATCAACAGAATCCAAAAATATGATCCCTTTGTAAATCTCAAACACGATTCGAGCTTTTAAATTCC